TACCATCATTGCTTCTAAGAGAAATCCAGATGTACTTCATCCAAAACATTTGTTCTTCCATTGGGTAGTTCATGGTGTATTCAATCTGCTTCACCAATACAATATATCAAATGCATTGATTCTTTTCCAGTCTTCCTTATTCATTTGTCCAGCTTTACCATGTGTATGAGGCAAATGAAATACCATGGGTTAGGTCAGGTGCACCTTAGTCCTCAAAGTGACATCTTTCTTTGCAATGGGCACAAATATGGATTTCTTCCAATCCACTGGACAGGTAAATGCCTTCCAGATTTCTTGGCATAGATGAATGAGTGTCTTAATTTGCTGAAACATTTCAATTGGTATTTGTCAATTCCTGGAGCCTTGTATTTTGCCAATATCTTCAGTGCAGCTTGGATTTTTTTCCCTTCTGTTCCCCTGGTTGCTGATCATATGCTACCTACTGAAAATGGTTGAACATTGACCAGTTCCTTTTGGTACAGTGACTCTGTATTTTTTTCATATTCTTTTGACATTTCCTATGTCATTCAATATTTGTTCCATTGTTGTTGTTAAGTGCCACAGAGTCCGTTCTGACTCATAGTGACCCTGTATAGGGTTTCTGAGGAACAGCTAGTGAGTTTGAACCACTGGTTTATCTTATAGCACCATACCAAGACTCCATAGAATCCTTCATTATTGTAACCTGAGGCTTGAATTTTTTTCTTCACTTCTTTCAGCTTGAGAAATGCTGAGGGTCTTCTTCTCATTTGATTGTTTAACTCCAGGTCTGTACATATTTTATTATACTTTGTCTTCTCTTTGAAATTGTCTGTTTAGCTCTTTATGCATTACTTCTTACAGTAACTTAGTTTCTCTATGCTCATGAGCAAGCTTCAGACTCTCTCCTGACATCGACTTTGGTCTTTTCTTTCTTTTCTGTCTTTTTAATATCTTTTGATTTCTTCATCTAAGATGTTCTTGATACCATCCCACAACTCCTCTGGTCTTTGGTCATTAGTGTTTGAGGCATCAAATCTGTTCTTGAGATGATCTCTAAATTCAGAAGGGACATACTCAAGGCCATAGTTTGGCTCTTGTGGACTTGTTTTAATTTTCTTCAGCCTTGGCCTGAACTTTACACATGAACAGTTGCTGGTCAGTTCTACATTCAGCCCCTGGCCTTGTTTTGGCTGATTATATTGAGCTTTTCCATCGTCCCTTCCCATAGATGTAGTTAATTTGATTCCTGTGTATTCCATCTGGTGAGGTTCATTTGTATAGTTGCCATTTATGTGATTTAAAGAGGTATTTTCAATGAGTAAGATGGTCTTGCAAAATTCTGTCATGCAATCCCTAGCGTCATTTCTATCACCAACCTCCACCATATTTTCCAAGTACCAATCCTTCTTTTTCTTTTCAACTTTCATATTCTAATCACCAGTAATTATCAATGCATCTTGATTGCATGTTTGATAAGTTTCAGATTGCAGTAGTTGGTAGGATTTTCCAATTTCTTGATTGACTTTAGTGGTTGGTGACTAACTGATTAATAAATTACCTGTTCTTCCTTGTACTCATATGATATTATCCTGTAACAGACAGCACTGCTCTTCAACATAGATCTTGAAATGCTCTCTTTGACAATGAATACAACCCTATTCCCTGTCAATGTGTCATTCTCGGCATAACAAGCTACATCTGTGCATTTCAGCTCACTAGTGTCTAATATATCTATGTGTTGCATTTCATTTTTGGTGATTTTTGATTTTCCTAGATTCATACTTTGTATATTTCACATTCTGATTACTTACGGATGTTTGCAGCTATTTCTTATCATTTTGAATCATGTCCCACCAGAAAACGAAGGTCCCCAAAGTTTTCACTCCATCCACATCATTATGTTCAGCAGTACTTTGAGGAGACAGCTCTTCCCCATTCATATTTTGACTGCTTTCCAACCTCAGGGCCTTGTCTCTGGCAGTATATGAGAAAATGTTGTGTGACTATTTATAAGGTTTTCAGTGGCTCGCCTTTCAGAAGTGGTCTGCCTATCCTTCTTCCTGGGCTATCTTAGCCTGGAAGTTCCACTGAAACTTGTCTCCTATGGGTGACCTTTGTTGTTGTTAAGTGCTGTCGAGTCGGTTCCAACCCATAGCGACCCTGTACAGGGTTTCCGAGAGTGTAAGTCTTTACGGGAGTAGAAAGTCTCATCTCTCTCCCAAGGAGTGGCTGGTAGTTTCGAACCACTGACCTTAAGGTTCACAGCCCAATTTGTAACCACTATGCTACCAGAGCTCCATATATGGGTGACCCTAAAGTATTTGAAATACCTGTGGCATAACTTGCAGCATCACAGCAACCTGTAAGCTAGCACCATGTGACGAACTGACAGACAAGTGGTGCTGCTCACTAATAGTGGAGTGCTAAAGAAATGGTAGTCTATTAACTTTCACTTCTTTCTCTGAGATTAAAGACATGTCTATCAGAAGAGAGGGTTATTTCATTCAAATTAGAGACCATTGGTTCTCTGTTAAAACGAGAGGTTACTAGTACTAGAGGGAGGTGCTAGGAAACAGGGCTCATAGTGACATTGGTTGCTTGATCCCATGAGAAGAATAACATGAGAATGGACAGGGAATCATTTTCAATCCTGTGATTCAATGTTATTTAATTTTGTGTCATAATGTTAATTAAAATTCTCTCATGTGCACTTTGGGGAAATAGGTCTCGTATAAATTGAGTGCTTCATTGTGTTGACTGAATGCTGTTGAGTGTCCACACTCAATAGAATCACTGAGGGAGTGAGGGAGAGTCAGGGATCGAGACTGGGCCTACACTAAAGTTGTGGTTATTGTTGTGAGTTGGTGTTGAATGGATTTCAACTCGTGACTGCCCCGTGGGGTGTTCAAGGTGTGATCTCTCAGAAGCAGATTGCCAGCTCTGCCTACAGAGGCACCTCATGGTGGGTTTGAATCGCCAACCTAGTTATGAGTGCTTAACCATTGGTACCACCCAATGACTCCTAATTTGTTATAGTTAGATGCAATTTTATTGTCCAACTGCTTTCTGTCATTTTGACATATGTACGTTTATGTCTTTTGCTTTAGCATCCTTATTTTCAACACAGTTGAATACAATTTGCCCAGGGTAGTCTAGTATTTATTATTTTTTTTTTCTAATGTATTTATTACCAGTGCTTCCTTAATAATGGCCTGGTTTGGGTGGTAAATAATATGCTCACGCTATTTATGATAAACAGTGTCATGGATTGAATTGTGTCTTCCCAAAATACGTGTCAGTATGGTTATGTGGTACTATTATGTGCTTGTCTCCCATTTTGTGATCTGATGTAATTATCCTCAATTTTGAGGTCAGTGTGGGATGTCTCTTGAATCATAACCTTTCAAGAGGGTGTGACTGAAGTCATACCCTTACTCAAATCAGACCCTTGTTTGAGTCACACCTTTTATATTACAAGTAAGAAAGGAGAGAGATGTGAGCAGAGAGGGGAGGGTTTTGACTACTGCCAAGAAAGGAGAGCTGGAAATGGAGTGTGTCCTTTAGACCTGGGGTCTCTCTCTTGAGACTCCCTAGAACCAAGGGAAGTTTGATGGCAGGACACATGGAGATCTGCGAAGAACACTGGGCCTACAGATGTTGAAAAGGAGACAATGACCTTCCTCTAGAGTTGACCGAAAAAGAAAGCCTTCAGCCGAGATCTAGCATCCTGAATTCAGACTTCTAGCCTCTTAACGGTGAGAGAATAACTTTCAGTTTGTTAAAGCATCCTCTTATGGTATTTCTGTTAGTAATTCTAATTCTAATGTTTTGCATCTATGTCACCTTGAACCATTATTTTTTCATTTCACACTGAAATAAAAGAGAGCTAATTTTTGCTGCCTTGAGCTCACAGCACCATGGAGGCCTGGAAGGGTGAACATGCCTGTCTATATCTCTAACAGCTTCCAAGGTGAGGTGCAACCTCAAGAGCACACGCCATTAATCAAGGCCAGGACGGTTGAACCTAAGAGTAGAGGACCAGTGTGAGAAAGCTGAGTGTAGGTAAAAGGTTCAGTCCCTGATTATGAAGCAGGGTCACTGGAGGAAGGGTAAAAGCTGAGATTATCATGAAGAAACACGAGTAAGGAGGGAGACTTTGCTAGAATAATAGTTCAACTAATTCTGCTGGAAGGCATCTTTCTTTCTGAGGGCATTTCAGATAGTCGCTTATGCTTTACCTCAAGCATCTCCTTCCCTTTGTCATCTTACAGGTACTTCTGCTTTCTGACCATCTGCATGAAACTCAGCTACTTCATTCATATCAAGTGTAGGCCAACTCATACTACTTAGCTATGAGTTACTTTTTTGAGTCAGGATGACTTTATGGGGAAGACAAGGAAGAGTGATGCTGGAGAACAAGAAGGATCCAGGGAAGGCAGGTGAGTTGGCATGGCATTGCTTCCCAAACTTTATGGGTTGACTTTTTTATGTGTATAAGATTCACATTTTCTCTTTTCCCTAGAGCAACAATTTTCTCTCTCTACCCATTATCTATTGAAGGCTTATATAAACAAATTCTTTCTTGCATCCAGGCCTTGGAATGCTGAGTCTTTCTACACACTTTCTGCTTGACCTCATTGGTTACTGCTGAAACACTAGATTTATAACTTTGTTTACATTTCTTGATTTGTCTAGGATCACTCAGAGAATTAGTGGCAGGTAGGGGTAGGGCTTAAGTAGAACTTAATTTATTAGAGGCATGATCCAATCTTTTTTCGCTTTACTTCACTTCAAGTGACCTTCCTTCTTCTGACAACCCCTTTCCCAAATGACCTGATTAGAACATGCTCTTTTTTTGTACAGTTATTGATTTTTTTAAAATTTAAAATCAGAGAGAAGCAGAAGTTATTGTCTCTTCTGTTGGGATTAAGATAAATGAAGAGGAAGACATGAGGCTGATTTCTGCATGGATTTCTACTGCAAATGGATTAGATCCAGCTGAGGGAGGTTTGGATTTATTAATATTTGCTCCAACGAATCTCCAAATATTCTCCATCATGGACAACGTAACTACCAACTCCTGAAAGGAAGAAGAAAGATAAATGGATCAAATGATGTGATACACAATCACCAAGTGGTGGACCAAGTGTACCCACAGTCTTTCCCACCCCCTTTTCATATTCCTCATAAAAGCTCACAATCCCACATATTAGTGCTTCGAACATTTCCACCTCATGAGACTTGTCCACATCTCTCTCTTACCTTGACTCAGTGATATGCCTCCACTCAGAATTTCCCAGTAGGTTCTGTCATTACTGTTGGCCTTTAGACCCTGAACGGATGTGATGTATGGGCCCCATGAAGTCTCCTTCATTGTGAAGCTGTGGGGAACAGTAAATTGGTTGCAGGAACTCTTGAGTTTCCAAAGGAAAACCCACATAGATATTTCTCAAGCCTAAATGTGCCTAAAAATCACTTGAAATGATTAGGGAAAAAAATGCAGATTTCCTGGTCTTACCCCAAATAGTTTGATTCTATAGGTGTGGGCTGGGGACCAGGAATCTGCACTTTCATAAGCACTCCGGAGGATTTGGATTCACTCTCTAGACTCCAGGCTGAATTAGACTACCGATGCTCATGGTTCCTGCCTTCCACCTCCAGCACAATAGATACCCTACAGTCAGCCACAGCCAGTGTTCTACTGTCGGAGACTGCTACTCTTGAAGGCACGAAACCAGAAGCAGGGAATGACACTCTCCTGGGCTCCCGGCACCATGTTTACTGGGTTTTCTCTTAGGAAATGACAATATAGAACATGTTCAGTATCTGTTTTAAAGTCTTTAGTCATATTTCTCTTCCCTTCCTGTATACCTTTGAAAGTAGCCTTTATAATTTTATACATATATTTATAATTCTGATTTTTCTCTTTAACATTTTACACCATGTTGTTAGATGCACAATAGATAATTGTTCATTAGATTTAGGGAGCTAAAGTCAGTATTTTAATTTCAATATTTAACCTTTTTAGACCAGGTGACGGTAACAACTTGGGGTCTATGAATCTCCTGAAAGTGGGAGTGTGATCTGTGAAATCTCAATTTAAATGCCAGATTTTGTGTGTATGCTATATATTTTTTTTTTTTTGGGATGAGCATCCATTGCATTTATTGAATTGTCAAAGAGTCAGTAACTCAAAAATATTTAAGATCTCCTGCTCCAGACTGCAAAGCCATTTGAACTGCACGGTTGGCGGTTCAAGGTCACCAGTCATTCCTCAGAAACACTATACAGGGTTGCTATGGGTCAAAACGAACTCGACAACACTTAACAACAACAACAACAACTCTAGATGCAAAATTGTCTGACTTAAGAGTGTCTGTCTATTGAGGAAATGTTGTTGAGAGGAGGTCTCAGGCATTCATTTGTCCATTAACTGAACATTAATCCCTACTGTATTGTGGAGCTGTAGGATAAACACTGGACTGCTAATTGCAAGGTCAGCAGTTCAAATCCACCAGCCAATCATCGAAACTCTTTGTAGGGTCTCTATGAGTCAGAACCAACTAGACGACACTTAACAACAACAACATATACTAGAAAAGGCACCCTAGTACCATAGTGGGTTACGTCTTGGGCTGCTAACTGCAAGGTTAGCAGCTCAAATCCACCAGCTGTTCCATGAGAGAAAGATAAGGCTTTCAGCTCATGTAAAGATTTACAGCCTTGGAAACCCTATTCAGGGTTACTATGTATTGCAATCAATTGGATGGCAGTAGATTAATTTTTTTATTTACTAAAAAAAAGAAACCCTGGTGACACTGTGGGTTAGGCATTGAGCTGCTAACCCCAAGGTCATCAGTTCAAACCCACCAGCTGCTTTGTGGGAGAAAGACGATGTTTGCTTCTGTAACAATTTACAGCCTTGGAAGTCCTATTGGGCAGTTCTACTCTATCCTTTAGGAAGTATGAATTAGAACTAACTTGTGCACTTGGTTTGGGTTTTATATACTAGAAGGTCTCCATGAGTTGGAATTGACTCAAAGGTAATGGGTTTACTTTTGGATTTTGTTTTTTTATACCCTGGCCAATGGCAATACTTTGTGCTCCACGGTGCTGTAGGACAGAGCACTGAACCACAGAGTCAGAGGTTCAAACTCATCAGCTGCGCTTTGAAAACCATATATTGGGTCGCTATGAGTCAGAATCAACTTGATGGCATGTAACAACAATAACAACTACCTTAATGGTTTGTGGTGTGAACCCACCCAGCAGTGCTGCAGAAGGAAGACCTGCCAACCTGACTTTGTTACAATTATAGCCAAGAGAGCAACCCTATAGAACAATGCTACTCTGTAACCCAGGCGGTCACCATGACTTGAACTCGGCTTGATGGCAATGGGTATATGCTAGAAGTTGAAAGCTCTCACTTTTTTTTTAAACATGCCATGAGATGTAGATGAATAACAAATGTACTAATTACAGTACGCTTTGGATACATTTTGTATTCAGCTCATACTTGCATGTGTATTCTTACTGAGATATTAGAAATCCACACTCAACATCTAAAGTTATATACAGACATACCCAAATATAGTCTTGTTTTGTTTCTGTGCTTCCTCCATCACATCTAGGAAGACAGACCCATTCAGCACTGTCACATTGGTAGAATATGTTTCAACGATTTTCACAGAGTAATGGACGTGGATAAATGAGGGGGAGGTAGTAGGGGCCGCAGATCCAGACACAGGAATGGAGACATTGAGTTCTGGCAGACAGAAAAGCAGAGAGCAATAATTAGAATCATAAAATTGATGGAGCTTGCTCATTCATCAAACCCTGCTCTTTACCCCTTTCCTTTGTGGCAATGATTGGATACAAGGAACAAGTACACTCAGTGGAGGGGAAGATCTGTCATACGACTAAAGCGAGCAGTAAAACCAGACACTCACAGGTTTGTGAAATGCTCGTGTTTAGTTTACCTCCCAGTTAGTTAAGCAACTCAGTTGTTCAATTTTCATATCTCATAGAGGCTCATGACTCATTTTTTGCTTTAGTATGTTATTGTTGCGTGCCGGTTCTGACTCATAGCAACCCTGTATAAGGTTTTCAAGGAGCAGCTGGTGAACTTGACCCGCTGCCCTTGTGGTTAGCAGTCCAGTGCTGATCCTATAGTGCTACAGCAATGCGTGCCATTTTTTCCTTTACTTTTTAACATATACTGAAGACATACTAACTACTAGACACTGAACTAATCGTCTTACATGGAGGATCACATTCAAATCTTACTTAGATTCTATTAGCATCCCTGGTTGTTTTCACATTAGATAACGGAGGTTTAGAAGTTAAATAGTTTGGAAAGAACAAAGATAGAAGGACAGGTCTCTGTCCCACCTGCCTGTTTGCAAAGCTAGCTGCTTAAGTAAAAGATTCCTCCTACAATTTTCTGAGAATGTGGTCCTATACTTTCTATACAGATGTCTTACTTCCCTGAAAATTAATTCACTGAAAATGATGGAAAGTTGCAGACAAAATAAAGATCCTTTATACTTTCTTTTGTATATGTGTATATGTAGAGGGTCAGAGAAAAAGAGGAAGACCCCCAGCGAGATGGATTGGCCAAGTGGCAGCATCAGTGGGCTCAAGCATGGCAACAATTGTGAGGTTGACCCATGATTGGGCAGTGTTTCATTCTGTTGTGCATAGGGTCGCTATGAGTTGGTACCGACTCAATGGCACCTAACAACAACAACATGTGTGGATGGAACAATGCTCTGAACATCTTGCTAGATCAAGCAATAAGAAAGTATCATTTTGGAAATAGATGTCATTTAATCAAGCTTAACTTGTTGATCCATGTTTGAACCAAGAACTACATTTGCTATCCTGGTAAGCACAAGCCATCAGGTTGTTGTAGTACCTGATGATATATTGAAGATTGAGCTCTATCTGGAAACTGTTAGAGGCTTCTCTGCTCACCTTTGGTCCCTGAGAACATCCAGATCTCATATTTTTTGAGGTTATTGTACCAAAGAACAAACCTGTTTGCTCTTTCATGCTTATACCTGGACAAGGAGCGTCTTTGTTAACATCCAAATAGGTCTTTTTCATCAAGGCAGGTAAGATCTGGGCTGCAGCGGTTGGAACATTGAATGTTCCCTGAGAGATTTCCTTGAGGACTGTGTTCAGAGTCTGTTGGCAGTTCCACTCACTTACTTGGTAATAGTCTGATGAGACAAAGAGGGCCTAGGTAGAGAGAGAGCAAGTACACAAATGAGAGAAACTTCATCTGCGAAACCTACATCTAACTTCCTGTTTTGTTACACAAATAACATATACATAATGCCAGACGGGTTTCCTTAATTGAATCATTTCTACACATGGTATGTGTAAGTGCTTTATTTGTGAAAAATGTGGTAAGTCCACAAATACTTATTGAATACTAACCACATAGGAAGCATCTTAGGAGCTACAAAGATAACTAAGATCCTTTTCCTGCCCTCAATAACCTTACAGACTAGTTTGGGTGGGGAGAAATGGGGGATGGATTCATTAATGTAATATCATCAATGAGAATGGATGTTGTCTGCCATGTTCACTTCTGTGTCCCCAACACTGGAATGGTGTTTTGTTGTGAATGCCCATGAGGTGGTTCCAACTCATAGCGACCCTGTATAGGGTTTCTGAGGAGTGGCTGGTGAGCTTGAACCATTGACCTTGCAGTTCAAACCAGCCTTGCAATCTAGCACATTAGCCCATAGTACTACACTGTAAAACTACATGTCATATAGCGGTTACTTACTATTTTATTGATGGACAAATGAATTTACAAGAAGTTGTACGATTAGTGCCCAAAGAGAAACTTCTAGTGGCAAGACATTTCAAAGGAGGAAGAGTTCATAAGCTTTTAGTGATGTTGGGGAAAGTCTTGTGAAGGAACCCATATTGGCTATGCTGAACATCTTGAACTTCCTAAAATATCTAATATTCTTTAGTTCTTTGTTTTTACTGTCCTCTCTTCCTGAAGCTTCTCTTACCCTCAGCCAGTCTGACAAACACATATTCATATTAACGATGCAGTGAAAAATTTTTTTTTCTGTAAACCTTTGTTGATCTCTTTTCATTTATACCTCCTGGTGTGGTGTTACAGGAGCAGCATGGGACTATCAAACCACATGTTCAGCAGTTCAACCTCCCCAGATGTTCCTTGGGAACTCTATACAGTGTTGCTATGAGTCAGAACTGACTCAATGGCACTTAACAACAACAACAACAGAATTGAATAAATCAATGAATAAAATTCTAGACCTCTGGAAATGTATGCAGGACAGTATAGATACTGAGAGTATGAACTTCAAAGCCAACTGTCTACATCCTTTCTCATCTATGTGTGTACCATGTGCTGATTGTGTGATCTTACGTAAGTTACTGATGCTCCCATGACTCATGTTCTAATTTTAGGACATGGAAGTAATAATTCCTCATATTAAGTTATTGCTAATGAGTTAATAGCGTGAAAAACTTAGCCCAGGGCTATTACTGGCTGCCAGCTATTACCATTGCCATTTACCACTTCTATATAGGAGCTCTGGTAGCGTAGTGGTTACGAGTCGGGCTGCTAACTTCAAGGTCAGCAGTTCGAAACTACAAGCTGTTCCGCAGGAGAAAGATGAGGCTTTCTGCTCCCGTAAAGATTTACAGCCTCAGAAACCCTGTGCAGGGTCACTATGAGTCAGAACTGACCCGAAAGCACACCACCACCTACCACCACCACCATAATAGCAATATAATTTGGTAGGTAAGATGAAACTGAAAACAATGGTATATTATGAAGTGTGAAATTGTATGTGGGAGAACAACAAGGTCAATTGTAGTAGATTTTCAACATTGAAATTTTAAAGAAATTGTTGTCAGGGAAACATAGAAGCATTGGAGATGCAGAGGTAAAGATTGAAGTCTAAGACGGATACATTTTAGGCATGGGTGGAGAATCATATAAGCCAAAACAGGTGAAGCAATGAAAGTTGAAATTTTAGGAAACAGAATGGAAACTAATATCTGGGGAAGCCAATAAAAAATCATGAGGATCTTTGTTTCTTCCATGACTCCATTTCTCTTTTACCCTTAGATTTACCTGCATAGCTTCACCTGTACTATATATGTTTCCAATGAGACCATTGTCCTTTTTCTCAGACAGAATTTTTTCAATCAGTGTCTCTATATGACTACTGATAATTGTTGCAATGTTTGTATCTATTTTGCTTAGGTTTACTTTACTCCTCTTCACACAGGTCAGAGCGAGGACTGCCATTGCACCGGTATCTGTCAAGAAACAAACAGTTGCTGATGGGTGATCAACCATCCCAATTTTTCCTGGAGGGAAGCATTTCCAGGACGCGGGAATTTCAGAGCTAAAATGGGACCAGACCTGAATAAACTGGGAGGATTGTTCATGCTAGTTGGTGATGGGACAGGGTGATTTCAAGATAGAACAATCATATCTCTCATATTAACCATCAAAATCTTCAAGAGTTGTTCCTTATGTTGAGTTGTCATGTCCCTGACACCTGTACTTAATACTCATACCTTGGTCACTGACACACGTATGAATTTGTAGATACATACATATAGTCTTCCATTTTACATCTTGGTTGTGCCTATATTTTCCTCCTGTCAGCCATACAGACAAGGAAATTAAGAAAATCTAGGCCAATATACAAAACCAATATATATTTGTAAGGTTCCCATTATACTGATTTAAAAATAATAATTAATAGAATTGTTCCCCAACTGACAATCTGAACGGAGGATGAGTAAAGAATTTGGGAGAAAGGAAGATAAGGTCTTTTCTGGCTTGATTTGTGGTATCCCTTTTCATGTAGCTCCTTGGCTTTCTAATGGAAAAAAAGCACGAGAAAGCTCACACTCTCTATACTGAATGGTAATTTGCTTTGACCTTCTTAGAGAAAGGTAGGCTTATATATCTAAACTCATAGAGGCTAAGCTCCAATGCTCTTTGTCTAGAAGGAACTGCTCCATTCTGATGTGTAATTTCATTCCATGGAAAATTTCTGGCCCACAACCTTCGTAACTATAGCCGTCATTGATTAAAATATTAGACCTTGTCACTGGAGAGGATGTGCTGTTCAACTGAACTCCCATAACCAAATGTTGTTGTTGTTAAGTACCATCGAGTCGATTCTGACTCATAGTGACCCTGCATAGAGTTTCTGAGGAGCGGCTTGTGGATTTGAACTGCCAAACTTACAGTTAGCTGTCCAGTGCTTATCTTACAGCACCATACTAGGGCTCCACATAGCCAAATAGTTCCAGTAGAGAAAAGGGCAAGATTTAGATAAACAAACTTTTAGTGCATTTCTTTAACACTTAAACAAATCCTAAAATGTTTTATATGAAGAGGATCACTACCTGTTACCAGTTTACAGGTGGGAAAATTAAATTCAAGAATTAGCATGTCTTTGTTATACAACTCAAAGATGAGAGAGTAGAAACCCAATCTTTCTGCTATACCATGCATCCAGAGGGAGACTTAAATCCTGCCCAATACTCATTCTTTTTAAACATTCTCTTCTGAGGAAACTAAGGATGAAGAGGATAGAAAACCATCCAATCACTTAATGAACAGTAGAAAACGTAAGGTCCTATTGATGACTGTATCCTCCGAAGCAAAGGAGTTGGATTCAATGACTCACCTACTGAGAACTGACCACCAAAATAATAGTTTTTATTTTCAGGATTGAAGAAATCAGCAATTTCAGCAACTGAGTAGTTTCCATTGAACAGACACAAGGCCAGAACATCCTGGCTGAGCTGGTAGAAGTTAGTAAGTGGATTGCCATTGTGTGTTCCTGGTGGAGAGAAGAGAAGAGAAGCAATGCCTTACTCATGGAAGTGATGCTGCAGTAATATATTTTCAATGTCTATTTACTTTAATCCTCCTCACTTTTAAGGAAAGGTGAGTATTTGAGGGGAGGAGTCACCCTCAGAATCAGCAAACCTGAACAATATTTAACCACCACCTGACTCACTTCAACTGTCTTCATTTTATAACTGAAGGCACCAAACACAAGAGAGATTAAAATACGATCCCACTAGTCAGATGGTTACTAAGCTAGGACTAGAATACAGCATTCTCACCTCTAAGCCAATTATTGTACTCATATTTGTAAAAGTAAGATGTTGAAACTCTAAGTAGAAGCATGTCTTCAAGGCCATCTCAAAGGAAGATGAGATAGGAGGATGCTATTAGTGAATCGTATAATAAATATTGAATGAAAGTAAAATAAAAACTATGCAGCTCATTAGAAGTCGTTGTGGTCAATTTGTTTTTCACAGAGATAACAAACTTCATTGCTTTTTTGTTTTTACAACTGGCATCGGATTCTTTGGTACTTATGACACAATGTCTTGTTTTCTTCAGCCACTTTTGATGTAATTTATTATTTGTCTAAAATCCATACTTCTGGAAGACTGGTGGTGGTGGTGGTGGTGTGTTGTGGAGTCGGTTCCGACTCATAACAACTCTGTATAGAGTTTCTGAGGCTGTAAATCTTTAGGGGAGCAGAAAACTTCATCTTTCTCCCATGGAACAGCTGGTAGTTTCAAACTGCTGACCTTCCGGTTAGCAGCCTGACTCATAACCACTACACTAACAGGACTCCTTTCTGGAAGACTAGAGAACTACTTTCATATATATCTAGAAGAGGCAGTTGTTCGAACAGAACATGGGAACACTGAATGGTTTAAAATCAAGAAATGTGTACGACAAGGTTGTATTCTTTCACCATACTTATTAAACCTGTATGCTAAGCAAATAATATGAGAAGCTGGGTTCTATGAACGTGGCATCAGGATTGGAGGAAGACTCATTAACAAACCTGCGATATGCAGATGATACAACCTTGCTTGCTGAAAGTGAGGAGGACTTAAAACATTTACTGATGTAGATCAAAGAGCACAGTCTTC